CTTTTCTTTACAAAATGTAATATACACTGACTGGAGGTATAGAAACTTATGTTTTTAAGTATTTACCACGAGATTTATACCGTGTTTCAACTTAAATGATCAATACGACTTGCGCCACGCATGGAGTAAGATCTGCTAACCATTCCGGATCACCTGATATCACCCCCCCTTTTTACACCCCACCCTGTGAAGTGCGTGTGTTTATGTGATGTTTTGTATTTTGTTTGTCTTTTAGTATTCTTTTTGTTTTTAGCCAGGACGTTGTCAACTAGTTTTGGACTTGTGAGTTTTAATGTCTCTTTGATAATGTTTGCCTCTCTTTTATTATGACACTGATGTATAGATGAATCTCGTATGAGTTGGGGATTATTGTGCTGCATAATTTGATAAGATCATTCTTTTTTCCTGCAGTTTAATATCACCGTTTTAGACTATCATTGAATTTGAACACAGATGAGGAACACGACGAGTGTTGCATGTGTAGTAGGATACATTTTCAATTCTGGATCACCTGAGATCACCCCCGGGTTTTGGTGGAGTTCTTGTACTCAGTACTTAGCTGATTAAGATGTGTTTTGTAGACTTTTATTTGTCTCTTTTCGTCGTATGTCGTTGTAAGCCATAGCGTTGTCAGTTTGTCTTTGACATGTGAGTTTGAATATCGCTTTGACATCGTCCGCCTCTCTTTTGATACTTTTGAATTATTCAGTATTTGGGTAGAACAGATTGTTGAAATATAGGATTTCAAATGATGAAAAAAAAAAATTAATGTGTATCATGTATTTCAAAGTACTTTCTAACTTATCCATGTCTTGTTTTAAGACACATCGTAACATTTGGATTGAAGCATTTAACCAGCAGTTATTGATATAGTTAATTAGGACGTATTTGTTGAGGGCACAGTCTATTTCCTCCTTCAATTTTTTACTCTTTGTCGGTTAAATGTTTAAAAAGTCTTCTGCTTTAAATTTCGTCTTGTTGATGTGGCTTTCAGTGAACTATAGCATGTATAGAACTTTGTAGAGTTTCTTGGTGTTTGTTGTTTGGTAGTCTTATTCCATTTCTCCTGCGACAATACTGCATCTTTGTTGTTGTTTTCTTGCTTTTTTCAAGTTTAAACGTCAAGTTGTTTGAGTATTCTCTTAGTCTTCCCATGAGTATAGGATGAACCTTTCGTATAAATGCTTCAGGTTTGAGTTTTTTTTCTGAAGTAAGGTGTCCTTCATAATTATTTTAAACCAGTTTTTTGACAAATGCATTGGTATTGCGTGTGATATCTGGAAGTTGATGATCAACTATGTTAGACATGTCAGTGCATAACGGTTTATATCGCCCAAAAGAACTCCTGACCAGAGTGGAACTAAATACATATATGAGTTTAATATTAATTCCAATTTACCAGGATCGAAGAAACCATTAACAGTACAACATAGAATATTCTTCGTCTGCTCAAAATTGATGTCCGACCTTATTTTTCTGAAATGATCATAGAATGGTGAAGACAGCCTTAAAGGTCTCAACTGTCGTACTTAATACAATTCAAGCTCTGTAGTGGTTTTTTTCCTCGTTTTTAGTGTAATCTAAATAATCTTCAATGCCACTATTGTGTATAACGTCGTTTAGCGTACAAAAATGTAATTAAGCTGTTCTGAACAGTTTCAGTCAAATATTGTCCAGAAAATACATTACAGAATAACGTCTGTGGCCGTTTACCTTGAAAAGTCTCTTGCGATTTGAAGTAGGGTGAAAATTCGAACAATAAAATCAATGTTTTCTGTATCTGTAATTTTACTTTCGACTTGCCTTTTCACAGCCTTTACATTTAACTGGCACAAATATGCATAATTGTAAAATGGTTTATAACTGCTGTCGAGCATTTCTGGTGTACAATAGTCCATGCTCTCGAAACATATATTGTCACATCTTCGGTTTTAATGACAAGAGACAGGCATGAATTAGTGCACAACTGAAGTCCGTTTCGATAGGCTGAGATCCAGATCGTTCGTAAAAGTACTTCACCAAACAGTATTTAACCTTATGAAGAAAAGTAGTTATGGAAGGTGTTGTATCATCGCAGGTTATAAGTTCTGCTAATGGAATAGGCGGATCTCCTTTTATATCACTTTTACAAACTAATGCATAATACAGCACACTCTTTGTTGGACTACCTGACTTCTCCACCACAGTTCCTGTCGCATCAAAGTACAATACACAGTTACAAGCTTCAATCTTATGGGCGAGTATCTTGACTTGTGTTTCTGCAAACATTTGTGTTCTGCTCTTTGGTCGGGTTGTTGTCTCTTTGAAACATTCTCCATTTCCATTCTCAATTTTATTGCAATTTGAAAAGGGTTATAGTTTTCGTAAAATCACATGATTGTGCACCACTAGAGCATCTTTCTAAGAAATAATTTTTCATTGATTTCCTTTTCAAATCTCTACTACATCAATTTTGTTGGTGTCTTTGTTTGTATTTTTACACAGTTATGGCTGCTGGATTCCACAACTGTCATACAAGTGGGAGGTTTAGCAAGTTATAAAACCAGATTTAGCCCACCATTTTCTGCGGGAAATGTCTGTACCAGAACAGATATATGACAGTTAATTTTCATTCGTTCTATTGGTTAAAAACGTTTGATTTTGTCAGTATTTATGGACTTCCCCTTTTTCAATTTACATTCAAGTTCTGTATTTTTGTTATACTTTTTGAGGTATAGCGAGCTATAAAACCAGGTAAAACCCACCATTTTCTTCTGAAAATGCCTGTACCAAGTCAGGAATATTACAGTTGTTTTCCACTCATTCCGTTGGTTAATAACGTTTGATTTTGTCAGTTTTTATGGACATCCCCTTTTGAATTTATCCTCGGTATTTTTGTTATACTTTTTTTCGTTGACCCTTATATTTTCACTGTTTTAAAATGTAATATTACAGCCACTTTATTCTTTCCACGCAAATGTCAGATGGTACTTATTGACACTATTATTTTGTTTGATATTTTGCATGATAATCTTGCCTTAGGATCTGTAAACAATAAGAAATTGAAAATTATTACCTACTGTCAGTTGAAGGAAAAGACAATGGTTAGTTTGCTCGAATATATCGTGTGTAGTATTACATTACATAATGGTTTATCATCTCACATCATGGTATATTACTAAACATTAGAGACAATATTATTATATGTCTAAACATATAACATTTGTGAACTTTCCATTGCTATGTATCAACATTCCAGCAATATGAATGAATGAATGAATGAATCTTTAGAGGTTGCGTTTTCATGATTTCGTTGATAGACAGTTGCTACTTACAAGGAAGATATTAATCCAAGGGTCAAACTGGTAAAGTTGAAATAATCCCTTCGACAATTTTATGGAAAACCTGTTTCACAGATGACGACGGATATGTTCCCATTTTCTTTACAACAACCCCGTCATCTTTTTCTTGAATGCAACATCATCTCATGAAGCTTATCCCGAGTTTGTGCTTCCATTAGCAACACGATGAGTGCCATATGATGAGCAGGATCGGCTTATCCATCCGAGAGACATTAGATCAACCGTGTTTTTGGTGGTGTTTGTGTTGCTCAGTTTTTAGTTTTTATGCCCCAACTACGATAGTAGAGGGGCATTATGTTTTTCGGTCTGTGCGTCCGTTCGTTCTTCCTTTTCGTCCGTTCGTCCGTCTGTCCCGCTTCAGGTTAAAGTTTTTGATCAAGGTAGTTTTTGATGAAGTTGGAAGTCCAATCAACTTGAAACTTGTACACATGTTCCCTATGATATGATCTTTCTAATTTTAATGCAAAATTAAGAGTTTCGACCCCCAATTTCACGGTCCACTGAAAATGATAGTGCGAGTGGGGCATCCGTGTACTATGGACACCTTCTTGTTTGTAGTGTTTCGTAGTCTGTTGTTTGTCATTTCGTCGTTGTTCGTTTTCTTGCATGGTGTTGTCAGTTTGTCTTCAACTTAAAAGTAGATATCCTCTAGATATCTTCGAAATCTCTTTGGGTTATTGTCTCATTGATGTAAACCCTACAGCAGTTGAATCACAACAATCGAATTAAGAATTGTTCTTACAAATTTTTTAATCTATCCATGTATTAAATAATGTGTTCACAATATCTTTGTAGTAGAATAATTAACCAAAAGCCTCATACTATACAGATGCCTCATACTAAACAGATTAACTGCTAATTCTTCCGGTGCACCTGAGCTCATAACTAATTCGCCACAAATAGCATCATATATATTTATATACTTTAGAAATAAGCCAGGTAAATATTAAAAAATACTACCTTAAAAGCTATATCAGAAATAAGTTAATTAAGACTAAGTTTGTGGTATTGCAGTGTACCCCATACGATACCTTGTTGAACAGTTTCTGTAGCTGTTTTTGTCATTTAGATTAATATTAGTAGGGTGACACGAACTATAGCCTTATTTGGGCATGTTGAGGTTTTTATTTAGAAATAGAGGTAGGGCTTATTTTACTTGTGTTTATTTTACTCACAGGATAAATAGCCGAAAGTTGTTAAAACTTATTGGAATTTGAAAATGCAATATCTAGATGATAAAAAAGTATAGAAATTTGAGTATTAATAATTTAAGTGAATAAATATTTATGATTTCACAACATATTTAAACACAACCATACAATCAAATGTACTTCAGCACTATACAAACAATGTCGATGTTGTATTTGGTACTTATTTATTTCCTTAAAATGTTGCATCAAACTGCATCCATATTCACACCATAAAGTTCTTGCAGTAAACTGTCATACTGTGAATTTAGGTAAAGATCGCTTTACGGAATGGATCTTGCGTAAAATAATACAGGGGAGATTTGCTCTACCTATTTTGTAAGAGGTATATATAATTGTGAGTTCCTGTTACAAAATGTTCTAAGTATGCAAATACAATCAGAGTCGGAAATGAAAATCACACTTGTATCTTTTCTTATTCATGTTATTAACATGTTTTCTTCTTTTTCAGCTACTCACCTTCTTGAATACCAAATAGAAACTATCCTAGGGTTTGTCCTATGTCTTATATCAATGATAATAACGTTAGCTTACAACAAAAAAGGAACAGTTGGAGTTTTGATTGCTCCTATCATATTGTACATGTTAGCAGGTCAGTAACATCTTGTAATATAAATCTCTGTCATTAAAAACGTATGAGTCATTGTGTTATAGGATTTTGAATACAAACATACCCAGAATGTAACGATCATTTGTTTTGTAATTATTCAATGATATATACATTAATAATGTATTATATCACAATTTTTACTCAGCTGGCCCCTAAATATAATTGTGAAACAATTCAAATGAGAAAACAAACGGCCTAATTTATAACAAAACAATTAACGAAAAACAAATATGACAGACGTGAACCAACGACAACCACTGAACTACAGGCTCCTGACTTGAGACAGGCAAATAAAGAATGTGGCGGTGTTAAACATTTTTGTGAGCGCTCAACCCTCCCCTAATCTGGGACAGTGGTGTAACAGCACAACATAAGAACAGACTATAAAAATCAGTTGAAAAAGGCTTAACTCTTCAGACCGATACAAAGAAAAACATCAAACAAAAACACAGACAGGACGTGGCAGGATATATATACATCCCTCATCCCTAACAACAAAAAAGACTCTAAGTACAGATCAAAGAGTACTTGCACTTACTGACAGCTAGTTCAAAGTCAATAGCAACTAATATAAAAAATCATGTATCTAAGACTAAAATATCAATCATTACACATCCAACATCCAATGGATTTAGTGTGAAGATGTCATTAACAGTCATGAGAAAAACATGACCTTGTGCAATGCCAAAATATAGTCTTCGACAGATTGTAGTGCCGTGAAAGAACATATGTGTTATATTTAGTATTAATTTGGTTTTAATTTACTGATAAGAATATCATTATTTATACAAATAAAACAATATTCAAAGATTTAATTACAGTGTTGAATAGGTAACCTTAAAGAATAAGTTTATTTAAAGGAGTTAATCCAATAACTTCAGTGATGTAATACTGGTCAGTTGTTACATAGTTTCCAGGATAGGCCTTCTGATTTATAGTTAAGGGTAAAATACAAGTAACTCTTGAATGATAAAGATCGATAAAGACTCGAAATGATAGGGAAAATAATGAAATATAAAAAATCAACAACAATAACTCTTGAAGGAACAATTTTATGGTAATATGATCTTGGATAAATGCCTTATGAATTTTATTTCACTAGCATTTTATGATAAATACTAACATTCAAATGGGTAAAATGGCCCCGATTTTTAAATTTGAAGTCCAAAGTCTATACAGTTCTATTCTAGTGTTGTCTATCAAGGTATTTAAAAAAAAGTACATCTTCCCAGTTGTTGAAAACGTGTATTAATGCGAGATTTGGGTTTTAACTTTTTACTATTTTAAGTATACATTCAGAAGACCGGTGTGAAATTAACTCGTTTAGGAAAGGTGTACCTTACTTGGTTTCTGTAATTCCTTTGTTAAGCGTTCATGAAGACATTTTCTTGAAACTCAGAAAAAAAAAACACTTAAAAATTTATAAAGTGTAACATAAATTTATATTTTTCAAATATACTTTTTTTTTTTTATTTTAGGAATAGTAACTCTGATGGCAGTTGGACGTTGGCTCACCAAAGTGTTGTTGGGTTCGAGAGAAAAAGACGTAACACTGATCGTCCCTTACTCTTTAATTTTGAGTGGTCTTGGAGCTGTGTTCTGTGTGGTTACCATGATTATTATTAGCTACATGCTCTGCAAACACAACACTGCAGATCAACCCCAAGAGGATCAGGAGTCTTCAGAAATTTCCGAGGAAAGGTATCAACAAATGCAGCCGAAAACGAAAGGCCGACCTTCAAAGGGACAAACACAGGATATTGATTTGACCACGGTGTTGGAATACCTTACAAACCTTAAAAAAAAGAGATGAAGTGTACGCGTACGCCAACTAATGTTTATACGTCACAACGTATATTATTTAACTTAGAGAAAATTTGTAATTATAGTTATTATTGAAAGTTATATATTTCAAGCTTATGATAATCAAAATGACGCTTTTTACCAAACTACAGTGATTACGTTATATTACAAAGGTACTCTAACAATTATTATTGTACTCAACTGTATATCATTTTTGTCCTGAACTTATAGGTTATATGTCAAAGTTTATAAAAAAATAAACACCCAAATCAACAAAGACATGTTTTTCGTGGATTTGAAAACACCTGTTAGATTCTGAACGCTCGAAAAGTTTATTTAAGTGTTATTTAAAATGAAGAGAGCGTAGTACTCCCTCTCTCTTTGTGATCAGATTTACTGTCATTATTTCGGCTGGACACTGCGGAGAAGTTAACCATGCCAATTCTAACTTACAAAAGTGAAATTTGGGGCGCTTTAGATTCAAAAAAGTTAACTGACAAAGGAGATTGTTATTTTAAAAAATTATGCAAAGAACTTCAAACTGAATCAGTTCATTCAAAAATCTGTAAATTTTCACTTGGAGTAGGAAAAAGAAGCACAAATATGGCAGTGATAGGTGAGCTAAGGAGATACCCATTATTTATTAAAGTTATAGTTAATATGTTTTCATACTTATCACGTTTAACAAATACAGAGGACAAATTATTGTAACAAAATCCTTATCAAACCATAGTAAGAAAAGTTACAATTCAATGAGTTCATTAGTAAAATACTAAGACATAGATTTATCACAAGTCTTTAATATGAAATCCAATTTGAAAAGATTTATTTTGAACAACCTAAAATTAAAGTATAATCAGTTGCGGTATTCATCTTAAAACGATGACAGAAAAAAATGTGTCATTTGGAAATAAACTAAGAACATACAGACTTTTTAAGAGAAATATAAGTTTTGAACCCTATCTGTCTATAGGCAATAGGAATCTGAGAATTCAGATGACAAAATTCAGAATAAGTAACCATAATCTAGAAATAGAGAGAGGTAGATACAGGGGACTTCATGCAATAGATAGAATTTATAATCTTTGTAAAAAAGAAGTGGAAGACGAACTCCACTTTCTACTAAAATATTCATCTTTAGAAAGTGATAGAGTTTCCACCATTTCAAACATAGCTAAAAGTTACAAAACATTTCACAATTTAGATTATCAATCACAATTTATTTGCCATGGCTAATGTCCAATGAAGATAGTCACATATTTAATCAAGTGAGCAATTTAATTAATAATTCAAATATTGTTCGAAAACAACTATTAGAAACTTAGTAAAATTATAAAGAAGACAATTTTTTTTTTCTTGTATGAATATATGTATGCATAATTTAGCTATTTATAATTGTGCTTGTTATTATGTGCTTATGACAGCACAAAAAAAAAATACACCAGAATATTTTTATACAGTTTTCTATATTTTTAGGATCACTGTATTTGTCAATGTGGAAATATATTTCCCTAAACTTGTCAAAATTCATTTTCAGCTATCTAGGCTAGGCGCTAATTTTTTTCTTACAGCCAATAACGACCCTGGAATCGCCCTGGTATTCCAGAGTCTTAGAGCTTAATTAAAGGGTCATATCAAGATGTACTGTAAATAAGGATTCAAATTGGTAAAAAATCAACATGAAAACAAATTCCCGATAAATTGAACAAAAGACAAACTTCAATCACCTAATCATTAATCATTAAAAAAAATTGATAAGGAAACTAGAAATGGAGAGATCAATTGAAATTCTTTCGGGATGAACATTACATTTAACGTTGAACATCATAAAAGCAATGGGAACCACTACAGGTACAATCGAAACAAACAAGGTGTTCCATTAGAAAAAAATTAAACTTCTGACGGTCCAGAAAATTCCAGATGAATGAATACTTTATTGCAAAAAGCATATATATGCTATAGCAACGAAAACATATTTACAACATGACAAATGATAAACAGCAGAGACCAATACATAAAAAGCATTATAAGAAAACCAAATAACATTAAGTAACAATATGTGATCTGATTGACCATGTAAAACAGACGTTAATTTAAATAGATACTGTAAAAGAGGGACGAAAGATACCAGAGGGACAGTCAAACTCATAGATCGAAAACAAACTGTAATTTAGTAATGTTTGGCCAAGAACAATGGAATTTTAGCAAATATTTAGGCCTAATTGATCTATAGGCATGGCATACTAATAAAAAGTGGTATTCGTTTTCAACGCACTGCATTTGCATAAACGTAATACTCTAGCCATGTCAGTATATCTTCCTGTTTCAATGTTTAGCTTTAGTGTACCACTACGTAATTTAGTTAAAAAGTGTGAATTATAACAGTAATCTAAAAAGTGTCCAAACCTAAATTCCAACTTTATATTCTTATAAATACTAAGTTTTTCGCTCCTTTCTACAGATGCTAACCAGCTTTGTATATACTGATCTATAATTCTATTCTTAATGACAGCACTATATTCAATTATATGTATTTCTGATTGTTGATACCATATATAATTTAGACCACTATCACATAATAAGTCACGTACATTAGAAGCCCATTTTTTTTGCCATTATTGGCATCTTCAAGTAACAATTTATAAACATCATAAACAATTGGTGTTTTATTAGTTAAAATATTCAACCAGTATTTAAAAGTTCTAAATTTAAGTAAACTTTAGCGAGCATTTAACATTTCAGTGCCATGAAGTTGTTTACACCATTTCACTTTTTAGTTTTTGATATATACACTGGCAATCATATCTCTTATTTATATAACTATATACACTGTGATGACCAATAAAGTATGCTTTAAAATCAAACCATCTGAAACATCTATTTATGTTAAGTATGCATAAATAAACATGATAAAGGTATTCTTTATTTAAAATTTAATCAGTTTTACAAGGTAAATAATACGAAACACAATGGAAGGAATTATGTATATTGATATACATTTCTTTCATTTTAACTCAAGTAAAATTACTAAATTGTTACTACGAGAGAAATAAAACATATTCATTTTTGTTCCAGGTGACAGATTTGAACCCGAGCTAACACCGACGTATTATGTTTTGAAACTTAAACTGTTAAAGACTTCTTTTATTTCAACATAACTACATTAAATTTACATAATTTATACATAAACACATGATACTTGTTGTTGTTAGTGAACACATACTATGCCTTTCGCTTTAACCGCATCAGAGCTGTATTCTCGTGGTAGCGTACTCGTCTTGACTGAAGGAGGTCGTAGGTGAGAATGACCAAACCAAATACTTGAAAATAGGTATTTGCCGCTTCTTCAATAATTGGGATCCAGTAGCAGAAAAACGGTAAACATACATCACAGACATACAACACAATTGACTAAAAAGTTAAAACAATCATACAAATGTAACTAACAAAGACACCACAAAATGGTATTGTAGTAGATAATAAATTTGACAAAGACGCCAACAAAAAAGATTTTGTCGTTGATAGTAAATTGATAAAGATGCCGATACATTTTGTTTGTCGTTGATACTAATAGCACATACCGTATATATAGTATACATTTTCTCGATAAAGTAAAATATAAAAACAAGAGTAAACAAAATAGAAATAACACTGTAAAAACTCTTTGGGTCCGAATCGCACCTTCGGACCCACCTGCACCAGGAACACCAAAAGTAAATCAAAGTACTGTAGTACTGAACATCGGATGACCGCAAGTTCTGGTGGATAGTCACGTGCACTTGTCTCAGAAAAAAAATCATATCTCTATACCTGAAAGTTAGGTTAAGGTACATAGATATTTATTTTTTTCTGAGACAAGTTCCTGTGTAGATGATGAATAAATGACAGGGAATTCAACCTCACCGTAATAATTATTATATTGTAGTGATATAATCATGGGACAATCATTTGTTATCAGTATAATCTGGTTTGTTGTTATATATTATATTAATATGTGTATACTGTGACAGTTATATATATATAGCAGACCATCTTAATAACTCTACCGGCAAATTTTCATCAATTTATACCATCATTCTATTCTACTATTCTAATGATAGTGCAGTGCAAGTGCATGGTGGACACTCTTCTGTAATATTTCGTATTTCTAATAGGTTTGATTTGAGAACGCATTCATATTTCTCCCGCTAATGAATATTTATTGATTAAATTAATATACATGTATAACAAGCGATAAGAGATATTCATCCGCAAACACAAACCCGGATTTGTTTTTTTCAATCGATTTATGAATTTCGAACAGTGGTATACTACTGTTGCCTTTATTTATTTCGGTATGTGTGCATAGATATTAATGATTTTTTTAACTTACACATAAGTATATATATATTTCTCACGACACAACATTTTCATATTATTTATTTATGTTCTTTCGTGAGTAATAAGGAATGTTATATTGCACTCGATAATATCCGCGAATTTATACAAAATACGTTCGGTTATCAGTCAAAAGCGCAAGGGAAATTTCTGCGGCAACATAACACCGGTATGACCTCTCAAGGTCATATCCGATGTAAAAACCGATGGCGGGATGCATAAATACCGAGTCACGTCAAAAGTCATATGACTAAAAGAAACTAAATTACACAAATAACGGTGAAACTGAAATAAAAGTCAATAATGTATCCAGATAACGTTGAATGTCTTCCCGTGGAGTGTTATCTTGTAATAGGCGGGTTTCAAACCGACTCCTAGTGTATGTATAAAAATGTGCAAGTGGGCGTTTAACACAAATCCGTATCATCATCATTCCATTTGTTTTTTCATTGACACTGTGGCAAACATTAATCATTGCAGTTTATGTGGGTGCCATTCGTGGATCAGGATCTGCTTACCCTTCTGGAACACACAAAATCAGCCCCGGTGTTTGGTGGGGTTCGTGTTGCTCAGTTTTTAGTATTCTATGTTGTGTTTTGTAAACTGTTGTTTGTCAGTTTTGTTTTTAGCCATGGCGTTGTCAGTTTGTTTTCGACTTGTGAGTTTGAATGTACCTTTGGTATCTTTCGCCTTTCTTATAATATAAACGTTTGTTTTCTATTAAATATAGCATGTTGGAACACAAGACTTTGAATTTAATATCCTATCGACATTAAATTAATACCATATTAATCAATGAACACATGTTAACAGCTTCAACAGTGAAATCGATGTTATAGACCGATAAAACATAGCAAATTATCATAATACATTAAAATAAAACACTGAATACTATCTATTAGTTAAATAAAACCATTAAGGCAACATTAGTTGACTGATGTTCAAATGTCATAAAGAAGATTAAGAAGATACAAATCAAGGTAACAAAAAACCCCGAGGGAATCGCATGAACTCCCAAAGGAGCGAGAACGGGTGCGTCGACAGACAATGCGTCGTCATCTATGCATACAAACATGATTAACCCCACCACGTTCTGTATGTGCCTGTCCCAAGTCGTGAGCCTGTAATTCAGTGGTTGTCGTTTGTTGTTGTGTAACATGTTTGTTTTTCATTCATTATTTTGTACATAAATTAGGCCGTTAGTTTTCTCGTTTGAATTGTTTTATATTTGTCATTTCGGGGCCTTTGGTAGCTGTCTATGCGGTATTGGCTTTACTCATTGTTGAAGACCGTACGGTGAACTACAGTTGTTAATTTCTGTGTCATTTGGTCTCTTGTGGAGAGTTGTCTCATTGGCAATCATTCTTTATATATACAACATCCGCCATGCGAATTCACTATCAGTCAAGTTTCATAATCGAGAATTGGACACAATCTTTTAAATTACAGATCAGACGACTATTCTGGTATCTAGATAGTTTAGACCGCGAAAACATGCTGCTAGTGTGCTGATATAAAGACCCATCGTATCGGTCAACACATTCGTGATGGTGACCCTCAAACTGATGTTGTGTCGATTTCAGTCTTTCTTTCTCATTACTGTAGATCTGTCATTGACGTCGGTCGTTTAATGGGAACGTGCGCGCACGAGCGTAACGTATTAAATGTCATACGATAGGACAGAGGGTATGTTATTGCTAAGAAATTGTAAGTTTGAAAGTTGATATCATCACTTTTGTCATAGATTCTAGTTTAAAGTCGTCCACTAGTCAAAAAAAGAAACTATACCTTTTACTTTTTGTATTTTATGCCCCACCTTTACGATAGTAGTAGGGCATTATGTTTTCTGGTCTGTGCGTCCGTTCGCTCGTCCGTCCGTCCGTCTGTCCCGCTTCAGGTTAAAGTGTTTGGTCAAGGTAGTTTTTGATAAAGTTGAAGTCCAATCAACTTGAAACTTAGGACACATGTTCCCTATGATATGATCTTTCTAATTTTAATGCCAAATTAGATTTTTGACCCCAATTTCACGGTCCACTGAACATAAAAATGATAGTGCGAGTGGGGCATCCGTGTACTATGGACACATACTTGTTTTCAGATTAATAAGACTATATCGGTTTGTTGAACATAATTTGCTAGTCCCCCAAAACAGACAATGTTTATTTGATGCATAAAAATAAAGTCACCTAAATTTGTCAAATGCGGTAATAACAACCAATGCTAAAGAAGGGAGTTTGTTTGACTGTGTGTGATGTATAACAATGCAAACATGTCCAGTCTGGATGGTAAAGTTAAATCTGATGCCTCGTATGGTAAACTTCTCTGGTTTCTTTCCGATTTCATATATTGCCAGGCTACGTTTAAAATAGACATACACCTTTCTAATTATTCTGAATAATACAATGTAAACTTAACTCTACGATGTTTGAAAATTCTAGTAGTGTAGTAAAGCTTTTTAGAAATTTGAACCCCGGGTTATATGAAGCTCATTTTTCCATCCAAGTGTTAAAACTTACCGACAAGGAGCGTCTATTTGGCTATTTGGGATGTATAAATACTTTACCACGTCGGAGAAGAAAAGAGAAGTTAAATCCGATATCATATGTATGAAAGTGTCACTTTTGTCCATTAAAACCCCTAACAACAACTCTTTTATGTGTGTAGATTGCCTACGCCGTAGTTCGACAACTTTTCTGTCATATTCAACATGCCTTCATTTTTCAATGTATTGTTGTCGAAATGACCAACCCATTATCTTGGTCGATCAGTCAATTAAAAAAAACAAGTCAAGTTCAGACAGACAGACAAACATGTGAACATTGAAAAAATTAAAGATAGGATGAAGTACAAACGGAGTTAAACATGGTTCTTCAATTAATATAAGGAGTGAAAGTATAACTCATAAAGGGATAACGATAAGTTTAGATGGAGGCTAGCGGACATGAATCAGATGTATCAAAAAAAAAAATCAGTTTAGAATCAGCTGATTTTAACACGTGTCAAGAAAAACAAACAAACAGACACACATAAATCAGATATGTTTATGATTATCCATTTTGCAAAAATGTATTATCTAAGTATACTCTCTCCTTCATTGTGTTGTGGATCAAAGAGCTTCATTGTAATATTTCTAATTACTTTTGGTCGGTCAAAATTTTAGTAAAAGGCTAGTTGTAGCTGACAAATGAGATTTGGTGATTTTTTAAATAGTAATTTGATTTACTTAGTTTTCTAAATAGTTATTTTATTCACTGGATTAAGTCTCGGAAGAAAAACATTGACCCTTTTGTTAATCTAGATACTAGTTCATGTCAATGATTTTGATTGACATGAATTTGTAGAGTTTTTTGACTACTAGTATACAATTTAAAAAAAAAAACTATATTATTAGAAAATAATTGTGTAGTACGCGATCAAAAATCTGTTTTCCGTTCAGAATTCTATTCATGACTGACTTTGAAAAAAGATAATGTTTTAGGACCTGAACATGCATTAATTATTAGCAAAATACCACAGTAGCCAGTTTCGTCAAATCAATCATCAAAATTTTGGCATTGAGTAAATAAGATATATTAATATATATTACATTCCATTCTTGAAATATGAGACTTTTATAAATATAACTTTCTCTTCGACAATTGAAGTTACCTGAATGGATGCAAGCATGTGTACCGGTATGGCAAATTATGGCTATTGATTTTAACTTCAAGCCTTTCAATACACGATAAGTGTGTTAGTATATTGATCAAACGACCTTATTGACAAACTAAATATTCATATCGTAAAAGTAAAAATCTCAATATGTCTTCCTTTTTTAAAAAACCAATATCTAGCTCCTGTTCATTTTAAAAATTATACATAATCGCCAGTAATAAACTCTGACTTCAACAGTTAGATAAACAAATGTATATTCTTTCAAGTGATACTTAACAATAATTTAAAAGTTTTAATTTAAAGTAGTGAAAGTCAATTGATAAAAAGTTAAATAGCTATGTTTCTATTTGGAATGCGATAGCGTTGTTTATGGTTATTTATGCTTAGACACGTTGTGTGTATAGAAAATATGTAATATTTTAAGAGCATATATATTTGTTTTGATCAGTGGAATATTTCAAAATGACATCTACAGCACATTTAAGTAAGTATATTTATACATTTTATAGTTTATATCTAGCACATACCAACATTTTAATCTAATGAACTGTGAATAAATGTTGAAATAAAAATCGCATGAATATTAATTGAGATGCATTCATATCTAACATAGGAATAAAGTGCAAGCATTTAGTAAAAGATCATTTATATTTTCTTTTTACTATAATATATATTCAACTTAAACATTATTCGGATACACAAGCTGTTGTAAACTTTTAATTAACTATGTTTATCGTAAGTTTCTGTCCTTCAATTAAAAATATGTT